CACGGTTCTTTTCACCTGTGAAATGTTTCCTGAGTGATTGTTAAAAAAATAAAAATAACAGCTACCTTGATGCTTTTCCAGAGGTTTGGGCAAGATGCACTTTAGGTGCAGCTTAATGACAAACTTTGATTTATGAGGTAACTGAAAATGTTTGTATTGTTGGATGTGGAGTGAAAGCATAGGAGCTTTCTGCATTTCATCTGCAGCTTTTCCAGCACAATGTACAGCTAACAGCTTGTCTCTCACTGATTTTAATAGATTTCTGCTGAATATGCCTGGAGTAGTTTGAAAACATACTAACTTTTTGGGGGGCAGTAGGTTACTAAACACTATAAAGAACTTTGCAATGTCTGCTTAGATAACCTTGAAAACTCTTAGGTTTTAGCTACTCTTTGCATTCTCCCCCTGCCTGGGTTTAAGGTGGACCCTATGGGAAGGCTGGTGTATTTTTCCCTTTAAGGGGAAATGTTTAAAATAAACATTCTTTTTTCCCCACCCACTGTCAAGGGCTGCTATGACTCCTGTATCTCTGTGTTTTCCCTGTGAATTCTTTGCCTTCTTCCTCTCTACCTCCATCAGCTGCTCTCAGTAACAAGTCACGTCAGGTGAGCTGTATCTGGCTTGTTTGGAAACGGTTCAAAAGGATCCCATTGACATTACCAGGCAATGGGTCACGCTTGAAATCTTGCCATTCTGGTGTTAAGCTTTTTCTTTTTTTTCTTTTCTTTTCTTCACTTGCACCTTGATTTCTGACATACTTTTAGCTGCTGTGAATTTGGATAGAGCTAGTGAAAAGGGATTTGGTATTGGGTTGTTTTTCTTTTTTTGTCTTTGAGAAATAGGGGATTTTATTTTTCACTAAAGATGGAGCCCTAGGGTGATTATCTGTTTTTCTGCTTAGCAAGGAAGGATAGTGGTTCTTCATGGAGGTGAATACTTTGTAAAATCTCAGGACTGCCACTCAGTTTAACCCTGGAATCTGATATGGATATTGGAGTCCTGTTATTTTTATTTTTTGAATTAATGGTGCTTTTAAGATTGTGGTGCTGCACGGAGAACTCCATGAATCTAATACATTGCAGAGTAGTAAGCTTGGTAGTATTGGGTTATGGTAATATACTTATTATTTCCCCTCCAGGTCCCATAGGGTTTGTCAGGTTGGGTGCTGGAGAATTCCTATGAATGCAGAAGAGCAGTGCTGGGCACATCCAGGGATGTGCTGCCCACTGTTGGGAAAGCCAAGCTTTGCTGTGACCTCCCCAGGAGATGAAATGCTGCTGTAGTGGCTTCACCTGTTCCTTGCATGCAAGCCATGTGAGCAGTTAGACAGTCTCATTTCTTTGGCAGTGTGGCAGCAAGGGGAAATGATTTAGTTAAAAGCTTCCTGCCTTCTCCAGGGGTTTCCCTGGTCAGTCACCAGCGGAGGTTCTGCTTTCACCAGCCTGGAGTAGTGTGGAGTCGGCAGCCCCAGCCCGGCTCAGTTCACATCTCTGTGGGCAAGGAGGGAGCAGGAGGCTGAGCACATCTCTCTGCCCTTTTCTTGTCTTTTTTTGTGCTGTAAGCCTGAGAAATAAAGTTTGTTCTTGTGTAATCCTGACACGACTGAAGAACCTCTTGCTGCAGGCAGCTCTGTCACTCTCTGTAGTGCTTGGATTGCTCAGCAGAGGGAGAAGAGACCATAATGCTGAAGGCACCCAGAAACAGCCAGAGCCACATTTCTCTGACAGACAGCCAGGAGATGAGTCCCAAAGCTTCCCTTCCTGCTTGATTTTTATTTTTTTTCTCGTCTCTGCTTGTTTTGAGGCTTGGAGCTACGCTGTGATTTTTCACCTCTTAATCAAAAGTAGCTGCCTCAATGTGTAGGTTAATGGACTATTTCAGATGGCAGAGTGGGTGACTGTGATAGAAAAGATGAGTCCAAATCCAAGAAGCAGCATGCTTGAAAAAAACCTCATGCATCCAAGCACTTCCTAAATATTCAGGAGCTTTCCTAAACACTGATGAAAAAATGTTGGAATTGACCTTTAGTGACTGAAGCTTTACAACACATCCAGAGATAAACAAAACATAACAAAACCAAACCCTTTGAATTAGTTGCAATTGAAGCAGCCAGTAAAGCCCATGACTCATCTCCAGGTCAGATTTTAACTGTCGTAAATCAGTGCAGCTCCATTACTTCCCTAGGCACTGTGCCAGTGCTGCCACTGGCTGGAGGGCTGGACTGCTATTTTTGGGGGGGAATGAAGTTTGAACAGAAGATTGTGATATTGTGACAAAGTTGTGGAGTTTCGTTTGTTTGGGGTTTTGCTTGTTTGAGGTTTTTTGTTTGTTTGGGATTTTGGTGGATGGGAAAGATACTTGTTTAAAGAACAAAACCTGTGTTGAGGCTGATTGACAGCATTGCTCAGTAGAGATTTGCTCCCCTGTAGCATATTGTGAGGAGATCCAGGAGAAGACATTAGACATTTGTTTTTTTTGTCAGAGATGTTGGTTTAATGTGATAAGAAAACAGCTGTTAGAACGCTGCCAGATAAAAGCAGGATGCTAAGCATGAAAGGGAACAAAACCAATGGGAAGTTCCTGCAATGTGATTGAGCAAATCAGTGTTGTGGAGACCTGGCTCGTTCCCTGTTGAGGGTGATGTGGTCAGCTTTGGGGCTGTGCTCTTCAGAGCAGAGAGTGTTAGTGCTCCTGCAGTGCTGAAATTAATGAGGTGCCATTTCCTGAGGGTCTGAGGAGGTGGAGCAGATGAAGCTGTTGGCCCTGGTGGAGGCAGCTGCAGTGGAGCAGGCTCCAAACTTTCCCCTGCACAATCAATGACCTGAATGCACTGGGCACTTCCTAAATAAACGTGTTCTCTTAAAGCATGAGCCAGGAGCCCATAGGAGGTGAGGATGAGGGTCTTAACTCTCTTTTCGACAGGGAAATGTGCCTAGAAGGCAAATCTGGAATGTGCTGTTAGGAAAGCAGAAGGAGCGTTGTTGAGAGGTGCTGGTCACCCAGGGAGGACCAGTTGATGAAGGCTTTTCCATCCTCTGCACTGGAAATCCCACCAAGGCCAGCTCTGGGTTCACTTTCCTGGTCCTTCCCTTCCCTCCAAACCAGTTATGAAGAAGGGTCTGTGTTCCATCCCTGCCACAGACCAGGCTCCATCCCTGATTCCAGCCCTACCTGTGTGGGCTTCTCGTGCTTGCTCAGGGCAGGCAGAGGGTGACCAGATGGAGCTGATGCTGTTTAACAGCCCAAGAAACACCTCTCTCCTCAGGAGGGTTTGTCTCTGCTGGATAATGAGCTCTGCTTCACTCGGGACGGAGTTGCTGCAGTAGGGATCAGAGAGAAGCACAAATGAGGATGCAGCACTGGGCACTTCCTACAGCCTCTTTTCTACATAGCAAACAGCTAATTAACTGGGAGCTCTTGGGCTGCTGCTGGCCTGGCTTCCTGGGGAAGAATCTTGTGCAGTTTGTCTTGCTCCAGTAAGTTTTTGAAGTCTTTCAAAACTGTGCATTGCAGCAACGCCCCGGCTTTTATTCTGACTTTTGGGTTTTTGCAAGTGTGACATCTGATAGTGGAGCTGGGCAGTGAAGCTTCAGCTGAAGGGAGAACTGTTCAGGTACAAAATTCATAGCCACGAGTTGGGGCTTGAGAGCCTTTCCATGACTTAAAAAATAACCTGCCAGTGTCTCTGTTTATATTTGAAGTACAAAATCCTTTATGCAGAAAGCATAAACTTTTTTTTTTTGGGTGGCAAGATGGGCAACCTTGTTCCTCTTGCAACTTATTTTATGGCTATAAATGGGATGTAAGTGGATTTTCTGCCTTGCACTGTCTGTCTGAAGGAGGGTAAATTTTGCTGTTTTTACTGTCCTGCTCAGGTAAAACGGTAACCCTGAATTTTAGTGGTTTCACCTTATGAAGTTCACAGATACTGCAACTTCAAAATTTTGTTTTTTAGTATACATGACTTCTTGAAGAAGTGAAGCCAAAGTATACTTTAAATCAAGAAGAATTTACCTTCCTTAACCTGACTACCCTACAGAAGAATCATAGCCCTCACAGGGTACAGCTCAGTTTTCTGCTTACATGTTGCTCCTGAAGAGCTGAATTATTTTGCAGGTTTTTTTCACAGAGCTTGCACTAGTGGTTTGCAGGAAATCATTAGCTGTGTTGCTGTTTCACTGTGGGCACTGGGAAATCCACTTTTATCTGTTCCTGCTTACCAGTGTGCTGCTAAACGCTTGCCTTGCATGTACTGAAACATGATTAATTTGGGGGGGTAATGATGAAACTGCAGTGCTTTGATAGGCTGATTATTTTCTGCTCTGCCAGAAATGGATCCTTAAAGAAGATATTAGATCTGAACAAGATATTCAAGAGCCAGTTACTGGCTTGAGTTAGCTAATAGGGAATAGGCCAATCCTACTGCCACTGATGTCAGTAAAAATACTGAGCGTGAAGTCAGGCATGAAATAATTAATTACCTACAGATGATGGTTTTGAAGGTGTGAATAAAAGATTTGAAGTGTTGGTTGAATTGTCTGAAAACTAAATCTGTTAGATATTTTTCTCTTTTTCCCCTTTTTTCTTTGTTTCCTTTCTTTCTGTCTGACTTCAGCAGTGGATTTCTGCCTGCTGAGCAACAGGTACTTCTGAATTCCTCTGCCCTGCTGGTGGATCTGGCAGATGTGGCCCTTACACAGAGTGATGTTATACACCATTGCATGTTTAATTTCTCTACTTGAAATTATACTTGAAGGTGGATATTTTATTGGTTTAGGGAAAAAGGACCTACACACTGATTCCTGAGTGTTACAGTAATGAAGTTTTCTGGAAACAGGTATTTCCTGAAAGAGCTTTGTGAAGTCAGAGGTGAATGATTTTAAGTATCATGTTTAACAGTTGTCTTATTACTGGCATGGAGGATATTATAGTTATTATGGTTGAGTCAGATATTGAAAAATGGTGCACTTAAATGTCTCCATTGTTCTTCTTTTCAACAGCACTGTTATGAACTGCCTTCACTGAAAGGTTGAAGGACGATAGTGCCTGTGAAGCTGAGCTGGTGTTTGTGAGAAAATAGTTAAATCTTTTGAAAAATAGTACAAAGCATGGAAATTTTGTAAGTAGCAGAAGTGTTTCTTACATGATTTTGTGAATTAGTAGTTTCTATGTAGGGATTTTCTCAGCATCAGAATGTCCAGCAAGCCAGGATTTTTGTCATTTAATTGTATTTTTGGCTCATAGAGAGGAAGAGGCATTATGAGCTATGGGGAGATTAAAGAACTAAGTCAACAATGATTTCTGCAAATTTTACATCCTGGGTTGGTGGTTACTCATCAACATGGTGGGAAAAGTTATGGTGAGGGTGGAAATTATGCTTTTAGGGATAGGGTCAAGATATTAATGTGTTGCTGATGTAACAGAGCAGCTGCCTCACATGGCTGGCTCCATCCTTGCCTATTGTTTGTCCAGGAAAATGAGATTTGATTTTCAGGTGGGAAAAGGCTGTTTTATCATTAATGGCACAAACCCCCTTGGTCTTCATGTGCTTCTTGTGCTAAGCAAGAATGTTCTTACAGGGATCAAAATACTTATTTTTTGGCACTTCTGTTTTCCTTTACTTATGGGAAGCTTCTGATCTGTTTGAATTTGGCTTTTCATTTAGTTTGGACCTGAATCTTTGGGTTACAGCAGCATAAATTGTCTAATGGACCTGGGGTGTTCCAACCCAACCTGACCCTATTATCTGGTATTTTAGATGTTCAGTGCTGTGCTTATGTGTACTCTTTATACACAAAAGTTGTTTTTTCCCTCAGCTTTTGAAGGCAAAAACCAGAATGTGCAGCTTTTCATGTGGAAATAGAAAATACAGAGTTCAGCTAGCTTGAGCCTGCCCTTTTTGGGATAGGAGATGGCTCTGGAGGGTGTTTTTTCTTCTCTAACTTATGAAGCAATTTGAGTCTAATCTACTCCATAATTTCAAGCCTTGTATGATATTTCCCATTTGTTACCCTAATAAGACCAAAGGTAAAATTTTATAGCACATTGTGAGCTGAATGGTCAACGTCTTATTAAAAATCTTTGCTTCCAGGGCAGGTGGAAATGAGAGAAGTCTCTTGCAGATCACAGCCCAATTAATACAATTTATCTAAACATGCCCTGGCTTATCCTGCTAACACTTCACAGGGAAGTAGAAATTATCCTTTCTGTGTGTTCTACCTCACAAGAAAATAAGAACAATGCAGGTGTTGAGAAAAAAGGCTCATGTAGCCCAGCATCCTGTGTGTGGTATGGATCACACCTGGCTGGGCTGGCTCTTCTTCAAGCTGTAGAGTCCAAATGTACTCCTACTTCTGATGCATTCTTAGCAAAGTGAAGCTTTTCGCTGTTCACAAATATTTTTGGTCTTCTGATCCATCACATCATATGATGTCTTCATATGTTTTCTTTTAAAGATGACATAAGCAGAAATAGATGCATTTTTAAAATGTAGATAAATCATGAGTTTCTGACATTCTGTTTTGTATTTCAGCCTTGATACCTTTCCCTAGCAGTTCCAAAATTATTTGCTTATTATTTTTGGGTTGCTGCTGAGCTGATGTTTCCAGAAAGCTGTCTGTAGTGACTACATCTCTGCATTAGAACAGCTAATTCAGAGCCTGTCAGTCTGTGTGGACAGTAATACTCCTTTATTTCAGTGCAATATTTTACATTTATTAACATTTAATTTATGCTGTCATTTTGCTATCCAATCACGGTGTCTTGAGACTCTTCTGCAGCCTTCACGTTGGTTGTAATTTTGCCTACTCCTGTTTGTTCTGTCTTTTCAGCATAGTTGGACATTTCATTGCCTCCCTGTCCCCTTTCTCAGACCAGTAACAGGTATTTGAACTTAGCACAGATGTTGAGGTGATGTGTTAACAGCCTCTCATCATTATGACAAATGATGTAAATTATTTCCTTTATTTCCTTTTTTATTTTTTTCCCAGTTGATGATCCATAAGATGCCCTTGTTTTCTCTCTCACCATAGCCTACCTTTTTAAAGGAATCTTTTCTTAAGATTCCTTGAGACTGTTTGCTGAAGGATTTGGGAAAAGCCCTGTGTACTGCATCAGCCACCTGCATGTCCCTTGTTAAGTCCTTCAAGGAATTCTAACAGATTTGTTGGGCATGACTGCTCTCTGCAAAATATCTGACTTTTTCCAGGTATATCATGCACCCACTTGTTCAATTCTTTATTATATTTTCTATCAACTCTTCTTGTATTGAAGTTAAACTCAGTGGTCTGTATCTTTGAACATTTGGTGTTTTAATGAAATGTTCAACTGTGGGAAGACAAAGAAGTGGAGTATGTTTTTTGTGTGATATTTTGTGGGTATTGTGTTTTTTGGGGGGTTTTGTCCCTCTCTGAACTGTAAGGTTACAGCTTTGTTCAGAGTTGTGGGGTCAGAATCAGAAATCATGGAAATGTGGCATGGGCATCACTGCCACATCACCACAGGGTTACCACTTTAAACTGCATGACAATGCCAAATTTCACCATGGAAATTTTCAAAGCAGCGCCCTGGGGTTTACAAGATCGACTTTATCAATGGTAATAAGCTTAAATCTATTTATTGCAAGGAATAAATCAAACATTAGAACTAATGTGGACTGAAACCAAATGTTGCATTACAGTTTTAAGCCTTTCTTATATATACAATTATCAAGACACAGGGCTGTGTGCCCACAAAAGGAACTTTAATTTCACATTTTAAAGGTTCCAGAAATAAATTTACAAGTTGGGAAGATACTTTTGTTTTACTCTGTGTTCATTGCTCTGCAAAACCCTAACAGAATGCCATTACTGTAGGCTTCTGATGCCAGCATTTGTCACTAGCCTTGGATTGTGACTCTGTTTTATAGAAAATTTAATGTTAGAAGCTTATCTATATTCTCAGCAGGAGAATCTGAAATGTATATATATGAAGTCTTGTAATGAAAAGCTGTAGGAGAAAGCTGCAGCTCTTGTAAATACCCACTTCAAGGAGGGCTGGCTGGCATTCCAGGATCTCGTTTGTTTTGCACTGTGGGTCTCTCCTGAAGCCCCAGGTTGTGGTGGGAACCTGTGCCCTCGTGTGCCAGGGCTAAGGGAGCTGCCAGTCCTTTTCACTGTGTCAGGAGAAAGCATTTACTCACTGAACTGTCCTCTTGTTCCCCAAAGGTTAGGGGAATCTTGTCCATGGGTTACAGGACTGTCAAGTGTAGATCAGCACAGTCTCCAAATTTTGCCACATCAAGAATGTTCTCTCTGGTCCACTATGGTGACCTTGCAATTAAAGGGCTCATTTGTTGTAGATTAATGTATTGTCCTCTTAAAGATGAAACCTGGGCTACCGATCTTGAGTGAGCAGATTTTGAGGCTCCTGTAATAGCTCAAAATCTTGTGATAAAATTGAAAAAAAACAGTCAGTGGAGGACCTGGACATAAAATTAAATGGTATTTCCACTTAATTTTGTTGTTCTCTCTTCCATTCTCTCTGGGATTTGCTGTCCTTCACTTGGCAGTTAAAAGGAAAAAAATTTTTGCCATTCACGGAGCAGCTGGGCTCTCAGTCCTGAGTCATTTTAGGGTTGTGGCACCCAGAAGGAATAAAATTTCCACAGTTCCAGTAATTTGGTCTCGAGGAGGCAGAGCCCTGAGTGTGACAGTAGCTCTTCATGTTCTTTGACATGGCTCTTAGTGTCAGGAGTTGTTTACAAGTGCAAACTCCATTCTGCCCTTGTGCTGTGTCCCCAAAACTGAGGGGAGTGGCTCTGGCCACTCCTTGCTGTGCCAGGTCACTGTTGGTGCAGCTCAGGCAGCCCAGTGACATTGCTCCTTGTGTCTTGCAGCACCTGAAATTCAAGCCTAGGTTTATTCCAAATGGGTGGTTGCTCCATGGGGTCTCTTTCCAATCACATAGGCTTTAATCTGGTGCCAGCAGAAGACCTTTCTTTTTTTTTCCACTCACTGCTCCTATGACATTACTTGAGCAAAAACGTGTTTTCTTTTCTGTTTTCTCTCAGCACTTTAGAGGGAGTCATGGGTTTGTTTGAAGAGGACTCCCAAAGATAGAGAGATAGAAAAAAAGTTAATAGGGAATTGTGGATCACAAGAAGCTCAGCTGAGCTCAGGTTACAGATGAACCTGCAATTGTCACTGCACTATTTATGCCTCCAGCTCCATTTAATTTCTGAGCTAACTTCTTGTCCCGGTGCTGTACTTTAGGGTTCCCCATACGTGTGACCGCTGGTTTAATTGTCCCTTTGCACAGAGAGTGAAAATACCATGGGTAGGTAGAAATAAGGCCTGAAGTCTGACTCATTCTTGAGTGAGGAGAGTTAGAAGCGCATTTCAGAGAAACAAGAGAAGGCAGCTCACCTGCTCCTGGGAATGTCTAGAGCTGCGTGGGAGCTGAGAGGAAATTCCTGCTGCTCCACTCATGGAGATGGAGAGAGCCCACTTTGGGATGGCAGGGTTACTTGTGCACACAGTTCATGGTGCTCAAGCCTTGCTGGTGCTGCAGTGGCTCGGAAGAGTGACAGGTCCCAGAAGCATTGGCATCTGTGTGTGAAGAAACCCTCCAGCTTTCCTTCCTCAGACTTGTGATGTCTTACAGAAAAATTTAAATGCTTCACTGGGGAGAAACCACTGAACGAATTTTGATCATTGCGGTGCCTTGATTTCCCACTTTGAAGTGTGCAGGGCTGATGGCCACATGGGTGTGAGCAGTTTCTTGTTCCAGGCTGCCCTGCCCAATTGCTGGCAGGGCTGGGCAGTGCCCTGGCATCTGCCTTGGCATGAGGTGTGTGGGATGTAAGCTGCTTTTTAAAGGTGCTGCATGAATATTCACTGTGTGCCAGGTGCTGGAAGGTGCCTTCGATCACATCTGATCTCGCTGGGTTTCATTGCTCTTGTATAAATAAAAAATCGTTGCCTCAGGTTTTTTACACAGCAGGGCTGATATTGGCAGTGGTACCTTGTTAAAATGAAGGAGTGTCTGTCTCATTACAGATAATGTGAGCCCAGCCTGCATTTTCTGCTTTGTGACAATATACTGCACCAGATGAAAGTCCAGTGAGAGTTATGTGCAAGT